AAATAAGGCATTGTAGAGGCTGGAGAAATGGCACAACGATTAAGAGCCCCGGCTGCTCTTGACAAGCACCCCAGTTCCATCTCCTGCAGGCGTGCAATGGCTTATAACCAGCAACAACTCCCCTTCCAGAGGTTCCCATGCCCTCTCCGGGCCTCCTTGGCCACTGTGTGCCCATGATGCAGAGATATAGATGCAGGCAAAACATGCATACACAGAAAATAAAATATTTTAAAAGACATTTTAAATGTGGTGTATAGAATATTGCACCAAAGTTCTCTTGTATAAAATAATGAGGAAACTCAAAGCTACATTGATCAGGGCTAGTAATAAGCCATTTCTTTATATAATGAGTAGAAAGTTGGACATAGCTTAAATTTGTTTGTCATGTATTATGAAATAAAATCTTGATATATTTTAAAGTTATCTTAGTAAATAAACTGATTCAGAAAAATCAATCCATGGAAAATATGGTTTAGGATTATAAAAAATAATGTGACAGAGTGGCATTTAATCTGCTCAGAATGATGTTTGGATATAAAAATCTTGTTTTGTAAATGTTTCACTATAAGAATATTAGCTTTAAAAATAACTCAGGCATTAATGTCAGAAATAAATCAGAACCAAATAGATGAATGAAACCACAAAATTTGAAGGCAAGAAAGATACTGCATAAAAACCCTGTTGAACCAGAGCAGCTGACACATGAAAATGAGAAGCAGAAGCCATCAACACAAAACCAATTAAATATTCTACATGAATAATCAGTCTTTGCAAACAATAAGATCATTGCCATGATACTTCCAATATTTTAAAAGGTAATAAACATGCAAAAATCATCATTTTAAATTTTATCTCAACTTGCTATTATCTCCATGTGCTGTTGTCTCTGTATGGTAGAAATGTTGTGTAATGCTGGTTATCTTGTCTGTCTTCTCACCTGTTTAGTGACATCACACTGGTAGCTTACTTACATCATCTATGATAAAAGTACCCTCATCACAGAAATTGCCAGCATTGTACATTCATCATGGCTTTCTCTTTGTTTGGGAATCTGTGGTTAAACATTTACCAGCACAGTTTGGCAAAACTCTTCCTGAAGGTAAAAATGTGAGAAGGGTCTCCATTCTCTCTGATAAAGAACCAACATACTAAATCTTTTGGAAGTCACAGGATATGACAGGTTGTGGTGCCACAGGATGTGACAGTGTGGTGGCTAGCTTTCATCATCAACTCTTTACAGCCCAGAATCACCTGGGAAAAGAATCTCAATGACGAATTGTCTACATTGTGTTGGCCTGTGGGTGTGTTGTGTTAGGTTAATGAATGTAGAAAGATCAAGCCCACTGTGGGTGGCACCAATTCTTAGGTAGAGTATCCTGAACTGTGTAATAGTGGAAAGAAACCAGCACAAACAAGCAAGTAAGCAAGCATCCATGTATGCATTTATTCCTCTTTCTCTTGACCATGGATGTCTTGCAGCTAGCTGAAGTTCTGTTTGGCTTTCGCATAATGATGAACTGTAGACTGGAATTGTGAGCTTAAATAAACTCTCTCCTATGTTGCTTTTTTTTCGGAGTATTTCATGATAGCCACAGAAATAAAGCTAGAACAATGGTCAAATACATGACAGCAGTATGTGTCTGCTCTTCCAGATTTATAGTAAGTTTGAAGGCCAACACTGCATTCTTATCTTCATAGAAGTTCTGTTCTGATTGACAAGGACCAGTTTTGTTTCACATGCTTCCTGTGCTAATGTTTGTTTGTTTGTTTGTTTGTTTGTTTTTTTCTCTTTGTGTTTTTACTCAGACAGTGTAATGTCATCACAACACAGGAAGCAGAAGGGCAGATAAAAATGCCTTTCATCGCCGGGCGGTGGTGGCGCACGCCTTTAATCCCAGCACTCGGGAGGCAGAGCCAGGCGGATCTCTGTGAGTTCGAGGCCAGCCTGGTCTCCAAAGCGAGTTCCAGGAAAGGCGCAAAGCTACACAGAGAAACGCTGTCTCGAAAAACCAAAAAAAAAAAAAAAAAAAAGCCTTTCATCTTGGGGCACTTCATCTTCTGAGAAAGGACAGAGGAAGGACAGGAAGTGGGTACACCAGCAATGGTTGAGGAGAGAGTCTGCAATTACTAATTCCTTCTTTATTCTAACTTTATATGTATTAATTATATTCTTTTATGCAGCATGAACAGGGGAGGGACTGTGTTGCTCCAATAGGAATTTGCTTACAATGAATTATGAACACAGTGCACACCTGTTTTATCAGACACTCAGCTGTATAAAGATGTTTCTGGAGAGTTGAGTTTCCTCCTGCAGACCTTAGACAAACTCCAAAACTTAAGCGCCCTTGAGTGTGAAGAGATAAGACACACAGGGTGATAGATCAGGGTTCTAATTCTTTGCTCTGGGTGTCACTCAAGAGATAAACAACTCTAGTGATACATCAAAAGTGTATCTTATGTCTTTAGTCCTATGTATTTAGTTGAGAAATCAGAATCCCTTCTTTAATCAACATGTACAATTTTGTACTAATAAAAATTCATCAAATATCAAACTTTTTTAAATGTGAAAAGGAAGCACTACACTTGACGTTTGACCACATAGTACAGATTACAGAACGGAACCTAAATGGATCTTAGAACTTACACCACTTGCTATTTTATGCTCACTAAGTAGCAAGATGACTTTATTAGTAAAAACAAATCTGTTATTTAAAGTACGAATCCACTCACATGTAATGGTGAAAAGTAAAAATTCTAATTTTAAAATTAAAAAGAAGAAAGGTGCACCCTTCTTTACTACTCCTAGTCAGTACTGTGCTAAATGTCCCGGCCTGTATAAAAATATTTTAAATAATTAAGTAATCAGTCTAATATGCATACATATTAGAAAAGTAAGAACCAAATTGCCCTTAGTTACAGATGATATAACCCTTGGGGATATACAAGAGTTAGTGGAACTAGCTTATTCATCTCACAAGATCATAGAATACCAATCAGTATCTAATAAATAATTGTATTTCTGTCTCCTAGTAAATAAAACTTGGAATTAAAATTTTAAATCTAATGTTTCTTAAAATAGAAAACATCATTGGATATTTAGAAACAGATTTGATTAAATTTACCTGTAGAGCCAATAAAAATTAAATTCAAAATTCAAACAAGATTTTCTTACAAAGATTATTTTAAAATGTAAATCAGAAAATAGACAAAGTATTTTTGAAAATTCAAGTTAGAGGCTGAAGAGTACTTGACTTCAAACTTACTATAAATCTGTAGTAATAAAGACAGAGTAAAATTATTGTAAGTACAAACATTTAGACCAACACAACAACCTAGAGGATTCACAAAGACTCATGCATGCACAGTCAACTGACTTTATTAAATGAAGTGAAGGATGGTCTTCTAATGCATGGTGCAGGAACAGCTGGCTAGTGCATGGTGCAGGAACTGCTGGCTAGTACACGGTGCAGGAACAGCTGGCTAGTGCACGGTGCAGGAACAGCTGGCTTGGCTTGTGCACGGTGCAGGAATAGCTGGCTAGTGCATGGTGCAGGAGCAGCTGGCTAGTGCATGGTGCAGGAACAGCTGGCTAGTGCATGGTGCAGGAACAGCTGGCTAGTGCATGGTGCAGGAGCAGCTGGCTAGTGTATGGTGCAGGAACAGCTGGCTAGTGAATGGTGCAGGAGCAGCTGGCTAGTGCATGGTGCAGGAACAGCTGGCTAGTGCATGGTGCAGGAGCAGCTGGCTAGTGCATGGTGCAGGGACAGCTGGCTAGTGCACGGTGCAGGAACAGCTGGCTAGTGCATGGTGCAGGAACAGCTGGCTAGTGCATGGTGCAGGAACAGCTGGCTAGTGCATGGTGCAGGAACAGCTGGCTAGTGCACGGTGCAGGAACAGCTGGCTAGTGTATGGTGCAGGAACAGCTGGCTAGTGAATGGTGCAGGAACAGCTGGCTAGTGCATGGTGCAGGAACAGCTGGCTAGTGCATGGTGCAGGAGCAGCTGGCTAGTGCACGGTGCACGGACAGCTGGCTAGTGCACAGTGCAGGAACAGCTGGCTAGTGCACGGTGCAGGAACAGCTGGCTAGTGCATGGTGCAGGAACAGCTGGCTAGTGCATGGTGCAGGAACAGCTGGCTAGTGCATGGTGCAGGAACAGCTGGCTAGTGCATGGTGCAGGAACAGCTGGCTAGTGCACGGTGCAGGAACAGCTGGCTTGGCTTGTGCACGGTGCAGGAACAGCTGGCTAGTGCATGGTGCAGGAGCAGCTGGCTAGTGCATGGTGCAGGAACAGCTGGCTAGTGCATGGTGCAGGAACAGCTGGCTAGTGAATGGTGCAGGAACAGCTGGCTAGTGCATGGTGCAGGAACAGCTGGCTAGTGCATGGTGCAGGAGCAGCTGGCTAGTGCATGGTGCAGGGACAGCTGGCTAGTGCACAGTGCAGGAACAGCTGGCTAGTGCACGATGCAGGAACAGCTGGCTAGTGCATGGTGCAGGAACAGCTGGCTAGTGCATGGTGCAGGAACAGCTGGCTAGTGCATGGTGCAGAACAGCTGGATGTCAGAGGAGTTAGAATCTTAGTCTTTACCTTACATCATATTCAAAAATTAACTCACTTAAAACCAAATTCTAAAACTGTAAAGCACTGAGAAGAAAGCATAGGGAAGACAACAACAGCAAAAAGATTTGTAGAAGTTAGAAGGGCAACCTGATCTTCAAAAGATACTAGTATGGAAGTAAAAGGCCAGACCCAGACTGAAAGAATACGCATCTGACAAAGGGCTTATGAGCAGAATGTACACAAACTCTTACATCAAAGGAAGGCATGATGTAAGCCACCCAAGGAAGGCAGAAGAGTTAAGCAGGTCCATCACGAAGACATGAATGACCAGCACACATGTGAAAGGATATGAGCAAGGAAATGCATATTTTTACAAAACACAGTAAAATAGTTAGGAAATAGTTTCTATATAAGTATATGAAAAAATACAAAAGCACTTACCATATAACCCAACCATCTCACTCCTTAGGTGTCCACCTGAAAGAAATGAAAACACTTGTTTTAAAAAAAATGATTTACACATGAATGTTCCCAGCAGCTTTGTAGTGGTTTCTTTTATGTTGCTGTGACCAAAACACCTGGCAGAAATGACTTTGTTTTGGCTCATGGTCTCAAAGGATCCCAGTCCATCATAGTGCGGAAGGCGTGGCTGAGCGGCTCCATGGTGATGGGACTGTGGGACAGTAGCTTGTTCGCATAAATACAGGCAGGAATCAGGGAAAATAGGCAAGGACCATGTTTCTTGCAGGGTTTTGTTTTTGTTTTCACTCTTTGCTCTTTGGAGGCCCACCACCCAGCTCTCAAATAAATACACAGAGACTTATTCTTACTTATGAATACCTGGCTTTAGCCTGGCTTATTTCTAGCCAGCTTTCTTAACTTAAATTATCCCATCTACCTTTTGCCTCTGGGCTTTTACCTTTCTCTGTTCTATATATCTTTATTTACTTCTTACTCCATGGCTGGTTGTGTGGCTGGGTGGCTGGGTGGCTGGCCCCTGGCATCCTCCTCTCCTCCTTTTCTCATTCCTCTCTCTTCTCTCTTCTATTTATTCTTTCTACCTGGCAGCCTCACCTATCCCTCTCCTGCCTAGCTATTGGCCGTTCAGCTCTTTATTAGACCAATCAGGTGTTTTAGACAGGCAAAGTAACACAGCTTCACAGAGTTAAACAGATGCAACGTAAAAGAATACAACAAATCTTTGCATCATTAAACAAATATTCCACAGCATAAAAGAATGTAACACTTCTTTAACTAATATTCCACATTTCCTTCAGCAGAGTTGGTTGTTTTCTATTTCTGATTATATAAATGGGCACTTTACTCATCTTTCCATAACCTTGTTGTTCATTATTGTGTCTTTTCCTAACATTTTGTCTCTAGTTGATTTATATTTCTCCAACTTACTTCAAGCTATTTTAAAGTGACATGCCTCTTCCTACATAGTCTAAAGAGCTACAAGAGGGTGACAGTAATCTTGATTGTCAAGTTGTTAGGATTAGGAATTAACCAGGAGAGCCTGCATGGGACTGACCTAAGCCCTCTGCATATATTACAGTTGAGTAGCTGAGTCTTCTTGTGGGACTCCAAACAGTGGGAGCAGATACTGTCTCTGACTCTTGCCTGCTTTGGGGACCCTTTTCCTCCTACTAGGTAGCCTAATCCATCTTTAATATGAGAGGAGGTGCCTAGTCTTACTGCAACTTGACATACCATGTTTGATTGATATCCATGGGAACCCCTGCCCCGAAGAGGAACAGGAGACAAGTAGATGGGGGCAGGTAGAGGGTGGGTAGGGTGCTGGAAGGAAGAGAGGAAGGGGAAACTGCAGTCTGGATGTAAAAGATAATAATTAATTTAAAAAGAAAAAGAATTACCCAGGAGTTTAGTGTAGTACAGCTCTGGGTGTGTCTGTGAGGGTGTTTCTAGAAACAATTACATCACAAAGGCCCTGACCTATTGTTTGGATTAACCTCTAAATGGATTCATAAAATGTTGACATTATTTAAGATAATGAAAGTAGAAAGGGTGGGACCCTGGTGAGAAATCAGGGCGGTGCAGGCACGTCCCTCAGGGTGCCGCCTTGCTTAGCTGTTTCTGAGTTCCCTTGCCTCTGCTGGCCTGATATGAGACTCTGCTCTGCCTGCTCTCTCTCCCCATGGCAGATTGAAACTGTGAACTACAGTAAGTACTCCGTCCTTTAAAACCCTCCCTCAGGTCTTCTAGTCACAGCCATTCAAAAGTTAAAGAAGCAAACAGTTTTGACCTTTTCTTGTACTGTGTTTATTATAATATTTCCTCTTTTTTATTTTAAATGGTCAAATGTCTGTCAAAGAAATAAGGAAAGTTTTGATTTCTGTGTATTTATCACCCAATTTACTTCCCATGCTCCTCTGCTCGTTCTGAGGTCCAAGTTTCCTGCGGGTACCATCCCTTTTCAACTAAACAACAGCCTCCGTGTGCATTTCTTTCTTTCTTTCTTTCTTTTTTCTTTCTTTTTCGTTTTTGGTTTGTTTTGGCTTTTTGAGACAGGGTTTCTCTGTGTAGCCTTGGCTGTCCTGGAACTCACTCTGTAGACCAGGCTGGCCTGGAATTCAGAGATCCACCTACCTCTGCCTCATGAATGCTGGGATTAAGGGCACTTGACACCACCGCCCAGCCATGTGCACTTCTTCAAATGAACAGCCCACATGTGCATTTCTTCAACTGAACAGCCCACATGCACATTTCTTGAACTAAACAGCCTACATGTTCATGCATTGCAGCACAACTGCATAAGTAACAAATTTGTTCACCTTGAATACTTCTGAAAAGCTGTTATCTTTACATTTGGAGGATATTTTAACTAAAGGGATCTTTCAGCACTTTGGATATGTTGGTGCTGTTATCTTGTATCTTGCATTATCTCCTATCAGATGAATCATAGTCCTTGTCTGCATATCTTTCTTCTCCTTCTCATCGCCTGTAGGACGTCTTCCTGCGGCTTTTGCCATTTTCGCTCTGATGCCCTGAATGCGCTGCTCGGTGTTTTCCGCTCGGGGTCGGGTGACCTTCCCTCTCTGGCTTCTTCACCAACGCTTCTCCGGGAGTGAGTCAAGGCCTTTCACTTATCTTTCTCTTCCTACTGCCCATCTCCAACAATTAAATTCTGACCAGTGTTAGGTTGCCATAGCAACAAATTGGTCATGTTGTTCTCAGAAATGAAAAGTGGTGGCCCACTCAAACAGCTAATTTCATATTCCTGGTTAGGAGAAAAATATAAAGAAGAAACTGCAATTTTTTTTAGCTTATCTTTAAGAACCTAATTAAAAATGTATTTTGTGATTATTAAAATGAGTGCTTTTTAGTGTCAGGACTTTTTTATTTTTTTTGTAATTTTATAACACGATTATCAGAGAAAGGCAACTTGCCTCAGCAGTGAAAAGTTCAGCCCCCCAGTCACTGGACTGACATGTGAGGGTGTATTTGTTGGGCATATATTTTAAGTCAGAATTACCGTTGCACAGAAACAAGTATTGATAACCATTTGTGGTTTGTTTCTAACATCCAATGTCATCTTCTAAATCTACTTCATAAGATCTACAATAGAAGATCAAAAAGAGTGTTTCTACAAAAAGAAACACTCAACATTAGACTGTGAAGAATAATCTCTGGGCCTCTAATTCCACTTCATTTAGGGAGGAATTGATATTTCATTAAGACATGTTTATTGAGTACCTACTGCATGTCAGACTCCATTAGGAACTGAGGTTATGTTCTTTCATGGCTTCTGTCTTAGATAATCTACAATGTCCCAAGACAGACACTGAAACAATCATCACAGAAGGAAGGAGACTACAAAGAATTAAGAGGTGATATTATGGTATATTAGACTGGCCTAATCTAGAGAATCCTGTCCAGGAAATGGACTTTAATCTGAGGCCTGAGGATAACTGGAAGGTAGCACATAGGGCCACCCTCATGCAATAGAAAACATGAGAAGGATGGAACTGCCCCCTTGGTTCTTGTCTTGGTCACTGCTCTATTGCTGTGATGAAGCACCATGACCAAGGCAACTTATTGGAGAAGCATTTAATTGGAAGCTTGTCTACAGATTTAGAGGGTTAGCCTGTGAGCATCATGATATCTTAACCATTCTGACATGTGTAATCTCAGTACCATGATAGAAGGGAGATGTCATGGGGATAGGGAGAAACCAGGTGCTAGGGAAGTTCCCAGGAATCCACAAGGATGATCCCAGTTTAGACTACCAGCAATAGTGGAGAGGGTGCCTGAATGACTTACCCCAGTAATCAGATTGGTGACTAGCCTAACTGTCATCACAGATCCTTTCTCCAGTAACTGATGGAAGCAGATGCAGAGATCCACAGCCAAACACCAGACGGAGCCCCAGGAGTCCAGTCAAAGGGAGAGAAGAGGGATTCTATGAGCAAGGGAAACCTACAGAGACAACCAAACCAAGCTAGTAGCAACTCATGAACTTTAGACCAACAGCTGTGGAGTAATACTCCACGGGACTGGACTAGGCCCTCTGCATATAGAGACAGTTGTATAGCTTGATCTGCTTAAGGGGGCCCCTGGCAGTAGGATCAGGATCCATCCCTGGTGCATGAGCTGGCTTCTTGGAGCCTACTATCTATGGTGGGACACCTCGCACAGCCTTGAGGCAGGGGAAGGAGCTTGGACCTGCCTCTATTGAGTGTACCAGGCTCTGCTGACTCCCCATGGGAGGCCTTACCTTCTTGTAGGAGGGAATGGGGGGTGGGATTGGGGAGAAGGCTGGAGGGGCGGGGGAGGAGGGAAAAGGGAGGTCTATGATTGGTATGTAAAATAAATAAAAAATTTCTTAAGGAAATAAGAGATGGAATCTCAGAGCCATTTTGATTTACATTTCTCTGATGGCTTAAGGAAGTTGAACATTTCTTTAAGTGTTTCTCATCCATTTTAGATTCCTCTGTTGAGAATTCTCTGTTTAGATATGTACCCCATTTTTAATTGGATTATTTGGGTTGTTGATATCTAGTTTCTTGAGTTCTTTACATATTTTGGGTATCATCCCGCTGTCAGATGTGGGGTTGGTGAAGATCTCCTCTCATTCTGTAGACTGCTGTTTTGTCCTATTGATGGTGTTCTTTGCCTGACAGAAGCTTTTCATCTTCTTGAGCCCCATGCTATTGGTGTTCTATTTAGGAAGTTGTCTCCTGTACCAATGTATTCAAAGCTGTTCTCCACTTTCTCTTCTATCAGGTCTAGTGCAACTGGATTTATGTTGAGGTGTTTGATCCACTTGGACTTGAGTTCTATGTGGGGTGATACATATGGATCTGTTTGAATTCTTCTACGTGCCAATGCCCGGTTATGCCAGCACCATTTGTTGAAGATGCTTTCTTTTTTCCCATTGTATAATTTTGGCTTCTTTGTCAAAAATCAAGTGTCCATAGGTGTGTGGATTTAAGTCTGGGTCTTAAAATCAATTCCATTGATCCATCTTTCTGTTTTTATGCCAATACCATGCAATCTTATTACTATAGCTCTGTACTACAGCTTGAAGTCAGGAATTGTGATACTTCTGGAAGTTCTTTTATTGTATAGGATTGTTTTTGACTATCCTAGTTTTTTTGTTTTTAAGTTGAGTATTGTTCTTTCAAGGTATGTAAAGAATTATTGTGGAATTTTGATAGAGATTTGGTTGACTCTGCAGATTTTTTGGTAAGATGGTCAGTTTGACTATGTTAATCCTGTTGATCCATGAGCATGGGAGATCTTTCCATTTTCTGATATCTTCTTCAATGTCCTTCTTTAAAGACTTGAAGTTTTTAATCATACAGGTCTTTCACTTGCTTAGTTAGAGTTACCCCCAAGATATTTTATATCATTTGTGGCTATTATGAAGAGTATAATTTCCCTGATTTCTTTCTCAGCCCATTTGTCATTTGTATATAGAAGAGCTACTGAGTTTTGGGGGATAATATTGTATCCAGCCACTTGAATTCTTAATGATCTAAAATTATTGAACTCAACTGTCTCATACCTTATCCTGTATCTCATTTCTTTCCCATTAAAACCTGTAGTGCCTGAATGATGAGTGCCACTCAAGACATGGTCCACATACCAGCCACAATGTTCATAGAAAATGCAAATTTTCACTCCCAACCTGTATTGGTTTTATGAGTGGTTTATGACAAAATAAATTCATTCTCTCACAATTATGGAGTCCTGAAGTCTTACATCAGAGTATTGGGAGAACTGTGTCCTTCCCAAAGTCTTGAGGGTTGTGGGTGGACTCTTTCACTGTTTCTTCCAACTATCATGACTCCAACCATTTCTTCCCATGTGGCTATGAAACAATCTCCATGCTCTGATGGTCTTTCCCATGTGTCTTTGTGTCTTACATATGTTTCTTCTGGTTCCTATGTAACCCAGGATCATTTGATCTTGACATCCTTCAATTATATCTACAAAGATTCAATTTTTCCAAATAAGGTCACATTCATAGGTTCCATGGATATGTAAACACATCTTTTTAGAGCCCACCATTTGACACACCATACTGTACTGCCCACTAAATCAAAGTCCTTGGGTTTATGACCCAGAGATCTGTGGCTGACCAAATCTGGCAATTTCTATGATTTTAGAGTTTAAATCTGTCTAGACAAGCCCTTTGCTGTTCAGTGGATTTTATTGTTGGCTTTCCTGCTCAACCCTTTCATGCTGCCAATCTTAGGGAAAGATCATTACAGGAACATGAAACACTTTTTCGGAAATACCTAATGATAACATTTACATGATCTTGAAATGAGCATGTATTTATTTTATAATTATCTATGTATTATATAATTCTTTGTTTTGTGTTTTGTACTGATTCATTATTTATTTTGTGTGTGTGTGTGTGTGTGTGTGTGTGTGTGTGTGTGTGTCCATAGAAGTCAGGGAAAGACATCAGATCCCAGGCAGCTAGAGTTATATGCAGTTGTGAGGTGCCCTAAATGTGTGCTGGGAACCAAATTTGGATCCTCTGAACAAGTAGTATGTGCTTTTAGCTCCTGAGCCACCTCTCTAGCCCCCTGTTATTAGGGTTTTTGAGGTAATCTCTCACTATGCAGGCTGGCTCACCATTCTCCTGTCTCTGCCTTCCCAGTGTGGGATCACAAACTTAAGCTACCATGCCTGACAATGTATCAGTTATTTTCAAAAGAACTTAAGAGTTAACCTTTTTCTTTTATCATTAATGCATACATATTTTTATATCTTATGAATAATGCCAAAATATTGGGGTATATAGAGAATTCTTTTATGTGCCAAAAAGTGGGAAGATTAAATATGAGAATTTTAAAGAAAACCAGAATTGAACAGCATCATTTACCACATCAAGGGTGTTAAATCTCAGAAAAACTTATGACTAGCTTTCTCTTCAAAGAACCATTAGCCATCACTCCCAAAATTTACAATTTAAAATAATGAAAACTTAAACATTGGAAGGTTGATGTTTGCTTTTGTTTTACTTTGAAAATACAGGAGAAAATAAAAAATGATGTGTTAGTTATGTTTCCTATTTCTGTGACCAAATATCACAAGATAAGAAGCAACCTGAGGGAGACGGGTTTTGACTTCCATGTTGAGGGGACAGGCTATCAGGATAGACACAGCATACCAGTAGGCACTTCAGGCAGCCAGTCACATTGTGTCTGCAGCCAGGAAGTAGAGCTATTAGGAAGTGGGGCTCAGCTCTAGAACTTCAAGGCCCACCCCAGGGGCCTATTTTCTGTAGTGGGGCTTCACCTCCTCAAGGTTTCACAACCTTTGAAAATAGGTCCACTTGATGGTGACCAAGTGTCCAAACACATAAGCTTGTGAGAAACATTTTACACCCAAACCGTGACAGCATGCGATATCCTAGTCACATTAGCCTTTAAGAGTTCCCATTCACAAACCAAGTCTTTCGCCCATCTTATACACTAGCTGGATCCAACGGTGGATTACATCCTAAAGACCATCTGTGGTCTTGAAATGTCAAATGAAAACCCTTTTGACTTTTATCCATCCTGATAAACTCTTACAGCTTAATAAACCACCAATGCTAACCTTGTGACATAGTTAAGTACTATTTACAGTCTTCATAGAGAAGACTCAGTTTGCATATGGTGGGTGACAGATGATGACAGAGAAAGAGAAGAAGAATAGAGATCAAAACCATCCACTCACATTTTTAAATGTAAACCGAGCACTTTCCACACATCCAGAACCGCACACTGGAAGTGCACAGGGTGTGTGTGGTTGTGGTGTTTTCCCAACTCAGCTCAAAACCTGCCCACTGGAACTTTTGTCATCAATGCTTTCCTATTCACCCCCAAGGCCTCACCATCACCTTCTGTGTGAGATTTACCATGGATGGAAACTGTGCCTACGGCCTCCAGTGGGCAGCTACCCAGGGGAAACTTGAAAATATGCAGCGAATAATAATTTGTGATAGACATTGAACTTCCAAGCCAGCGCCTGAGCAGACAACTACCAAACTAAGCAAAGTATGTGCAGTGTGTCAGCATAGGTTCCATGTTTTCTTAAATAGCAATGTAGATAGATGTTTGATTAACAGCAAGAGGTAGAATCAAGAACAGTAGCCGTGAGTGATATTTGTGTGGTGCAAATTTTGACACATCAGCTTACCCATGTCTGTAGTGGTGGTGTCTGGAAGTATTTCCAGTCATGCTGAACCTGAGAGATCTTGTGATTCTTCACAAGTTTCTGGCCTCAACTCCAAATGCGGCTGGGGACAGTATCAATAGAGATACAGAAAGACAGTAGAAGAATGGAAAAGTGCAGATAGTCATTTGGAAGTCTCACTGCGTTCAAAAACAACAACCACAGCAAAGGTGATTCACCTCAACAGAATTTAAAAGGCAAATAACTTGACATCAAAAGCACAGAGAGATTTGCTGGCCTGCTTAGTGATCAGTCCAATGCAAATCTGTGGGATCAATGTTTCCCTGGCAGAGAAGCAATTACATTTAAGAAAGTTTTAAAAGGTGGTTACCAAGCAACGGCTCTCAGCCTACGCACATTGTTCATACTCTCTGGTAAATTATAGAAAATGACAGCCTGTCAGAAGAGAACAGAAATGTACAAAATTAGGGCATTGTTATTCTAGGTTCCTCCTACAGGAGAAAGATCAATTATATCTTTGGTACAGTGATTAGGTTAAATAACTACAATAGGTACTAAATGTGACCGTGCCGTGGTATCAATGTGTAAAAAGCTCAGGCGTTTTCAAAGAATGACCTTTGTAAGCAGGTACAGCCCTCCCCATGACCTGACTTCACAGCAAGAGCAGATCAAAACACCCTATTGGAAACACTTAACTGTTTGGTAGAAATTTCCTATAAGAAAAACACACATATAAGTATAATAATTTATTACTTGGAATTCTTTATTCTCTCTAATAAAATGATGATATTCTTGGCATCAACCTGTGTTTGATAGTGGTGTTTTAATGTCTGCCTACTACTCCTTTAAATGAGAAGATTGGCACGTAGCAATAGGTAGAATCAAAATGCCTTTATTTAAGAATGCTCAGAAAACACCTAGGTTACAGGGCAATGAAACACAGTTCTTTGAAAGGGGTATGACCAATGTGTATGAGTTAATGCTCTCAGGCTTCAGGGGAACTGTTCTGACCAAATGTTGTTGACATTTAGTTCCCCTATTTATGAAGATAATTCCTATGGTGATGTAAAATCAGATCTTTAGGAGTCTGTTTCCATTACTTTACACATTATAAAACAAGCATATCATTAGAAAATAATGGAGCGGTTGGTTTCCGTTTTTGTTTCGGCTTGCCTCTTCCCCATACATCTTCCCAGCCTATAGTGGCCAAGCTCAGATAGTCAGATAGAAACAATGAGCACTGTTGGCTCCTTCTTCATACACAGCAACGGCCATTCCACAGTGGCTTCTCTTAATACAGCTTTCACCACACGCCATTCAAAAGTGTCAGGAAGGTGCTGGGGACATGGATCAGTTGTTAAAATAACTGACAAGCAAGGCTAAGGACCTGAGTTCAGTCCTCCTCCCTCGTGTAAAAGCCGGTTATGGTGGCATATCTATGGTCCTATCAATGAGGGGGAAATAGGAAGGTCTAGAGCTCGCTGGCCAGCCGTCGTAGTCAAATTGATGAGCTCCGACTTCATTGAGAGACCCTCTCCCCAAAAAAAATAAGATAGAGGGTCTAGGGAGATGGCTCAACAGTTAAGAGCACTTAACTGCCCTTGCAGAGGATCCCAGGACAGTTCCCAGAACCCACAAAACAACTCACAACCATCTACAACTCCAGTTCCAGGGGATCAGATGCCTCTCCTGACCTCCATGAGCTTCTACATGCACACAAGCTTCTACATGCAAAATAACCTAAGGGAGGAAGAAATTTATTGACTGGTCCTACTAAATTTTGGCTGTTATTAGCAGACAGGTCATTGTTGTTGATTGTGACCTAGAAAACTAGGAAATAATGATAAAAATTAATGCTCCAGCAGCACTTTGAAGTAAACAGGAGCTGGCAGAAAGCAGGGGCCGTGCGAGAAACTCTTTGCCTTTTAGCCCCTTCCCGTGGCTATATGAACTTTCTTTGATTCTCCTTCTCCTTTCCTTTACTAAATCTCTACTCGATGTTGCTTTCCCATGGCTTCGGACTCTTTGCAGCTTTGGCTTACCATGGGCCTGTGTATAATTTGTAGTATTTTTTTTTTTACTTCTACCTTCCACTTCTAACTGAACCTTGCCTTCATATTCCTCTATGGTGATATTTTATTTGTATTAAAATGTTATTTGTATGTTAATAAATAAAGTTGCCCGGGGGTCAGAGCTATTAGCAAGCCATAGGAAAGCAGGGCAGTGGTGGCGTACGCTTGTAATCCCAGCACTTGGTAGGCAGAGCTAGGTAAGTCTCTGTGTGTTCAGGGATACAGCCAGAATTGGATACACATGCCTTTAATCTCAATACCAATCATGGAAAACCTGGAGGCCTATACAGACAGGCCGTGACGAGGCGGTCATGTGGTTGGGTTTACAACCAATGAGAAGGCAGAACAGGAACTCTATATAAAGACTTTAACACAGAAAGTAGCTCTGGTTTGGAGAGGTAGGACCACCGCAGGAGGAAGGGTAAGGTTTTAGCTCTTAGCTCTGACCTCTTGACTTTCTTCTTTGCATTGGTTCTGTGTTTCTTATTTAATAAGAAGGTTGGTTACATCTACATTCCTCAGTTCAAAATTTTTAGAAAAAGGAAAAACAACCCGGTTTCTCTTCTTGAGCTACGCTCTGTCCTTACCTGAGTGGGTAGGGTCAGGGCCAGCGCCAAGGCAGCCCTGACGAGTGACGCTCAGTCACCCATCCTCAGGAGATCAATTAAACAAGCAGTAGTGAAAAGCAGGAAAAGGAGGAGCCTTAGCCGATGTGGCCATGCTGGGGAGAGGAACAAAGAGGTCCAGTGACACCCCGACGTCCATCTTTGCGGTCCTAACCTGCTGTTCAGTTTTAAATAGAAGGCAAGAGGTATGCAAATCAAAACAGTCCGTGTCAGGGTGTGGTCCTGTTCATGACTGACTTTGTCGTCATTCTTCTGACTCTGGTCCCTGCTACAAGGTGGTCTGACAATTTGTCAGAACTGTGAGATCTCTTTCCAGGAGACAAATCCCTCGTCCGTCTGGAACCATTCCTTCTTTCAAAATGTAAGTCCTGTGGGAAATCCAACTTATTGGGGATAGGACTATTTCACTAATATAATAGCCAAAGGCATGGGTGTAAGTACCTCTCCTTAGAATACCTTCCCTCCTAGCAGGATAGTCATACCATTACAAACACAGTGCCTGGCCTCTGAGTTATGTGGCAGTTTTTCAAGTGATTTGACATGTTTTGAATCGGATTTACATCTCCTCCCTTTGAATCTGGACTTCATGAACACAGTAGAAGTGACTATATAGGATTGTGAGATCAGATTTGAAGGCACTAGTGTAAATCCAGCCACACCGGTATGAGAACCACACAGAGAAGCCAGGTAGATGTGGTGAAGGTCCCAGACAACCACCAGCATCAATCTCCTGAGCTGTGTGAGAAAAGCTACCTCCTAATGACACTGGTCCCTAACCAGTTAATCATTTCTAGCTTTGAGGTGTTTACAGCTCAAACATTAGCTATTATGAAACAGCATCAAGCCATCCTTGTGCAATTTGAATTCTTGACTCACAGCATCTATGAGGATAGTCAAACGTATACTTGATACCACTGAGTTCTAGGAGCATTTGTTAGGCAGTGATCCATATTTGGAAAGTATCTGGGTACAGTAAGTCAAATTTCCACAGCTCTGTTACAAAACCTATATTTCAGTGATCTGAAGCATTTTATTGTCTCTTTTACTTCTCAAATCAAGAATGTGAGAAGCGGATCAGGCCCTCTGAATGGGTGAGACAGTTGATTGGCTTGATCTGTTTGGGAGGCATCCAGGCAGTGGGATCAGATCTTGTGCTCATTGCATGAGTTGGCTGTTTGAAACCTGGGGCCTATGCAGGATTGTTTGGCTCGGCCTGGGAGGAGGGGACTAGACCTACCTGGACTGAGTCTACCAGGTTGACCTCAGTCTGTGGGGAAGGCTTTGCCCTGGAGGAGTTGGGAATGGGGGGGGGGGGGTTTGGGGGGAAGGTGAGGGGGACGGGAGGGGGGGAGAACAAGGGAATCCGTGGCTGATATGTAGAACTGAATTGTATTGCAAAATAAATTAAAAAAAAAATTTAAAAAAAAAAATAATAACATTCTATTTATCATAGTAGACTATGCCTTTTTAAGGTTTTGCATGTTTTCATGTGGAACTTATTATATAATTATTTACTAGATTGCTATTGGCTATAATATATATCAATTATAAAAACAAAAAAAAAAAAAAAAAGAATGTGAGAAGCACTCAGCTCCTGCCCAGTGTCTCCTCTTCAACTGCAGTCAGCCCTAAGCCAGAACTAGACCATTATTGCTGAGGCATCCCACAGCAGATCAAGAATCATTCTCTTCTGAGAATTCAAGGGCTTTCTGTGTGACTGCCCCACATGGAAAAATCTGGACTTTACCTTAGTATGGTGAGCTAATGACGGCAGAATTATTTTCATGGTGGCTAAAAGCTCCACTCAAACTATACCAGAGACTCATGACCTACTCTGGTGATGGGATGGCCAAACACCCTAATTGTTGTGCTAGAAACCTCATCCAACTACTGAGGGATCTGGATGCAGAGATCCATGACTAGGCCCTGGGTGGATCTCTGGGAGTCCAATTAACGAGAATGAGGAGGGTTTATATGAGCGAGAATTGTTGAGACCAAGGTTGGATAAAGCACAGGGACAAATATCCAAATGAATGGAAACACATGAACTATGAACCAATGGCTGAGGGGTCCACACTGGATCAGGCCCTCCGAATGGGTGAGACAGTTGATTGGCTTGATCTGTTTGGGAGGCATCCAGGCAGTGGGACCAGATCTTGTGCTCATTGCATGAGTTGGCTGTTTGAAACCTGGGGCCTATGCAGGATTGTTTGGCTCGGCCTGGGAGGAGGGGACTAGACCTACCTGGACTGAGTCTACCAGGTTGACCTCAGTCTGTGGGGAAGGCTTTGCCCTGGAGGAGATGGGAATGGGGGTGGGGGCATTGGGGGGAAGGTGAGGGGGACGGGAGGGGGGAGAACAAGGGAATCCGTGACCGATATGTAGAACTGAATTGTATTGCAAAATAAATTAAAATAAATTAAAAAAAAAAAAAACTCATTGCCTTGAAAGTCATGGATGCCACTTTCTCCACACTCTGTTAGCCAATGGCTCACTAAGCCCAGTTTGGATTCAAAAAGTCAAGGTACAGAGAGCCTTCTTTTCAGAGATGGCAGTCAAAGAAGTTATCAATATCTCTTAAAAC